TTGAAACTCAAAAAATTCAAGATAACCCCCAGCAATAGGTTCCATGCCTCTCACAATCTACTCTGTGAAGAAGAAACTAACGTGGAGAAAATATAGAAAGGGGTTGATGAAGGAATCACTTTGACACGTCGTGAGGTTCTGGGACACAAGGAATGGATCTCGGTTGATAATCTGGATGAGATTCAAGAAAGGATGAACATGCAGACAGCATTCAATATCAGCCGAACAACAGCAGAGAGAGCCAAGGCACAGGTCTAATACACAGAACCAAACAAGCAAGTGAATAGGGGTATTGAAGATGATAAACGAAATATGTGGAGGATCTAGAAATCATAGAAGAAAAAGCTGCAAGACAATGAAACGTGATACAACCAAATAGCATGCTGGGAAACATCGTAAACCAGAACGACCAGTTTAGAACAAATAAAGTAAAGAAATCAAAGTATCAGGTGGGTTGGGCACTTTGAGGAACTCTTGAATGGACCAAACTCACTGAACTCAACGGTCGTCAGGGCTACACCCACAAACCCACTGACAATCAAAGAGATCAGGATGGCCTTCAGGCAGATCAAGGTAGCAAAGCAATGGGGCAAGACAACATGCTAATCGAGGCACTGAAAGCAGACAGTAGTAAAAGCAAAGATGCTCCACTCTTTGTTCAGTAACATTCAGGAGTAGGAACAAGCATCAACAAACTGTGAAGATGGACACCTCATCAAGGTACTAAAGAAATAAGATATCAAGAAGTGTGATAACCATCAGGATATCACTCTTTCCTTAATACCAATAAAAGTCTTCAACAGTGTTGTTGGACCAAATGAAGTCTTTATTATACACGTAACTGCGAGATCAACGGAGCAACGGATCACCGTTGAACAATCAGTCGAATGAAATCAACCACTAAACAGTAACTTCCTTAACTACGAGAAAGCTGTCGTAAAGTCGACAGGAAAGCACTATAGATGCTTCTTCAACATTATGGCGTGCCTGAGATGATAGTCAACATCATTCTAAATAATTATGGTGGATTTAAGTACAAGATCGTACATAGAGGATAGCTCACAGACTTATTCCAAGGAAAAACCGGTGTCAAACAAGGTTGCTTACTTCCGTTCTCGATCTCTTAGTGGCCGAATGGATGATGAATATGTCGAGATCTGAGGGGAAGCGCGGAATACAATCGACTGGTTTGGTGCAACTAAGCGATTTGGGTTTTTCAGATCCCCTAGCTCTTCTTTCCCCATAAACGACAGTAAATGCTCGTGAAGGCGGCTAGTGTGGCAGTAGCCTCTGCTGCGAGAGACACAGGAAAGGTAGAAACTAGGGAAAGGCGCTGGAGGTTTGTAGGACGCACTATGAGTTATACATCCAACCAAACCCTAAATTGGTATCCACAAGCCTAAAGGAAAAGATGTAGAACGAATGACAAACTTCTCCGACAATTGGAATCATGTGAAAAGATTGAATAGTAATTGAGTAGAACTGGAAATGAAAGCTCAGGTAAAAGTTGAATGGAGAATGCTGCATTAAGGGTCCTAGGAGTAAGCTGGTGCTTAAAGAGAAAGTGTTGCGCTTGTCTAAAAAAGACTTCATACACCTTACGGTTTAGGATTTGATAAATCAAACCCATCAGCCGCTCTTGCTCTTTTCACTTGAAGAGAAAACTAACTAATTTGCAAGTCCCACTTTCATGGGAAATCTTGGTGATAAAGATAAAGGTATTGCTTTTGGCAGGATTAGCTTCTATGCTGAAAACAGACCTAGCCTTGCGATCGAATTTTTTAGGTGCTTCTGCTGTTACATGAGTTACTGCAGGTCCACTAGGAACTAGCAGGCCTCCATATGTGCTATAGAGTTGACTTCAGCTACTGGACAGATTTGGGGTTTGCTGAGCTCTGTGGCTCAGGAAGAATGATTGCCACCGTTTTATTTACGGTTCTAGTTTTTGAATTAGTCTTTTCAACTGATAGGTTCCCGGTCTTGAGAGAAGTAGATGAAGGAACTGTGAGATTTGTGCAGTCATCAGGACAGTAGCTGTTACTAGTGTACAGACTGCGCCGCTTGATCTGTAGTTCCTTAGTGCTTTGATGTTGAATTGTGTTCCTTTCATGGGTAATTATGGTCTTCCTAAAAATCGGAGTATGTATAAATAATGACTGGCAAGTAATGAAGCGGTTAACTTCCATGATAGCATTAGAATGAAAAAGAATTGGACGGGAGACTTCTGCCTGGAATTTACGTGATCCTCTAGCTACACAAAGAGAATGGGACAATCCACGCCTATTTAGTAATATTTTTGACAGACTTATAGTTTGCACTGTTAGGTATATTAAACATGATGACACTCTGCATACAGTGAAGTCTTTTTAGCACTTCTAAGGATTTATGGCCAGCTGCCATTTCAGTTTTTCTAAATTCGAGATCGGAATTTTCTGTAACACTGGTCAGTGTATGGAAGTAAGTCGTGAGCAGCTTGGCTATGGTTAAATTCACTTCGACTATTCTTACAGTTAACATTGATGGAAATATTGCAGCTTAATTTAAAGTTGTAAGTGTTGACAGCCTTGTGCACAGACTTGGCGATAACCTCAATCTACCCATGTCTGTGTGGCAGAACATTTTGTTTGCTTACGGCTCCTTACGATATAGCAGGATGTAACAAATCAGTGATATTGATGTTACTTTTCCTAGTTAACCTCGTCTACAACCCATGTCTGTAACCTTGCGCTGGTTTTTACTTCCTACCGAGAAATCCTATTACAAGCTGGTCTGGACAACTATACTAAAAAAGAGCTCATTCATAACTTCTTGAGCCTCAGATTTAAAAATAAAAAGAATAAATAAAACCAAAAAATTATATCACTGATCCTCTTTATTATATTTTGTAACTCAACTTTATTACTAACAACTTGGTTCTTCTGAATTTCCTCTATTCTTTCAACTAACTTCTCATTAGTTATCTCACTACTGAATTGTCTTCATTAACCTACATAAGCGCAGATGTAAAGTGTTCTGATATTAAAAATGTTTGGGTAAACATACCTTTGTTTTATCCGTAAACGTATGTGGGAAGCCGTTGTTCGGCTTTGAACATGAATATTTTCTGTTCTGCTCCTCGTCCCGTTTTCTTTATTCCTCTTTTTTTCAGAACCTTATTCCAATCCACATATATTTGTCTGGATATTTGCAGTAGACTTGGTTACCCTAGCCAAGAACATGTGAAATCATTAGCTGACGAATATCAACCAGACTTTTGTACATTTACCGCATCAATTCTTGTTATATGTAAACCTGTCTGTACCATGAATCATTTCTCAGCCCATAAGATGATTGTCGTAACGCAACCTTCGTAACTTGCGCCAATTGATCGCTTTGTACATTCCAACTTTAAGAAAACAATGAATCTTATGAAATGTTTCAGTAACATTATACCGTTTTCAGAAAAAAATATGTTGCTAATCTTAACATTTTGATCTTGCCTGTAAATTGGCATGTCTCTTGTAACATGTTTGTTATTTGAGAATAAATTATTATTATTATTATTATTATTATTTAGCTCTCAGTCTGTGTATAGTCAGCTGAATAAAGGAATATTTCTTCGGGTGGATAATCTAGATCCACACTAATCGATTGTTTACTTCCGACAAACTCAAAATCTTTCAACCGCTCTTAAGTGTATCGGTTAGCGGTTTTGCTGGGCATTTAGGACCGGCCACACTTTCCAACAGGTGCTCGTGACAAGTGTCTATTTCGGAGGAATCCCAAGAAAAAGTAAATAGTGTTGAGTCTCTCAGCCTTTGGTTATAATCACATCTGTAATCAAGATAAAAATAATGAAAGATCTTACTAAAGTTCATTGTTCAAGTCTCATGTTTTTGTAGCCTGGTCAATACAATACTAACTACTTACCTTTTTTTCTACTTCTATTTTATCCGTTTTAATAGTGGATCTAAATCTTTTACAGGTTTTATAGGTGTCAAGAGAAATTAAATGCTTTTAAGATATCCTTAGCATTAGGAATAAGGTTTGTACCAAATGAACAGTGTTCTTAAATGACTTAACTTGATGGATGAAAAACGTCTAGTGGTAGGAGTTAATACGAAGGTATGGAACAAAGAGCTAAGAAAAAATCACGTATTAATGAAGAGGTGATCAGTCTTAACTTACTAAGGACGGATTTAAGGATAAATAACTTGAGAAACATTTACAACCTTCGAAATCCAAGCCTCGTAAGCCGTTTATAGATTACCATCTCGTGCTCGAACCGAATGTGCTTGATGTATGTCTCGAAAATTGACTCAAATTACTAAATTATTCCATCTCACTTGTTATCACCTTTGTTTCCTTTTATTACCCTCACCATTCGTTCCTCTCACACTGTCTGAACTACCAATTAAGTAACTTATATTATCCATCAAATACCTAGAACCGAACCGAAAAACAGCAATCGGGTGCAAAGAAATCAACCGGTTCATAGGAGCCTACGGAAAAATATATTGGTTATTAGATATTGGATTGCGTTCCTGAAACATTCGTCTTCTAATCAAAATTAGCACTTACTGTTTAGTTTTTGGTGGTTTTACAGCTTCTGGGATCCAAAAGCCGTACTGCTGTGAGATAAGCGCACTCACTTACACTACAAGACAATTAAATTTATAAATACTGTGAACTGAGCAGAATGAGTAGTTTCGTTGTTAGACTACCATTCATCGGACATTACTAAAAATTTGAAACCATACCAAGGGAACAAGAAGAATAGTCGGAAGAAATCAGTCGACTTTAACTTGGTCATGAAGATGATATTGGGTATTTAAACCACAAGATATTGAATCGTCTTGCAGTGGTTAATTTGCTTTTTCAAGGTTGGTTACTGGCTGTTGGTTTACCAATGATATAACATGTGACCGTATATTAGCGAGTAAAGTAGGCATTTCAGGATGTTAATGCTCTAGTTACTAAGCGTAATACAGTCTTGTATGTTTATTTTTTGAATCTTGAGAAAACTTTTGTCATGTGAATGTTTGACCAAGTAGTGTTATGTGTTGATAAACTCCCATTTAATGTGTTGACATGATAAAATTTTCTTTTCTAATAACAGTCGATGGATTTTCTGTAGGATGGTGGCTGAAGAAGATGCAGATCTAGTCAACCCGGTAGATTCTGAAAAGAATGCTGTTCAGAATCATGGATATTCCCTTCGTAAGGGCGACTTCGCTCAACGACCCATGTCCATCAAGAAATTTCTCGAGCCTTTTGACCACAGCAGTTTGACAAATAATGAAGCTGGTGAGAAGTATGCGGCCTATAAAGCAAGTTTTGTTCGTCAACAGTTGGAAGAGTTTTTCGAAAGGAACAAAGCATATGCATGGTATGTGTTTTATTTACGCTACCTTGTAAATTCGCTATTTTCTGCCAAAAATAACCATTTTTAATCGTATGACATCATATACGATGAAGATCAGCGTAACACTAACTGAAAAGCAATAAGCCTCTTCCAGGTAGTACGTTACAAACCTTTGCACAATATCGTGCAGCAAATTTTATATGTCACTGTTTATTTTTCACAGAAAAATTCTAATATGGTAGATTATTATGTTGTTAAAGTCTGGTAGTATTTTTGATTCCATTTGACAATTCTACCGGAAGTGTCAGACAATAATACTGTCTGGCAACTCGTAAATTATGGGTTTCTCGTTAACTTGTCCGAATTACTTTCCATACAACGCACATATATTAAATCACAAATTATTTAAAGCATCAGGATGCCTTAATGGAACATATAAACTTTTTCGTTAAAGGATTACTATTCACTTACTCCTTATTCGCAGTACCTCAGTCGACAATCATTTAACTACATTGGTGTAATATATTGAGAAGGATTAATACAAGCTTGGTTCTTATCATGTTTCAATCTTTTTTTGAATAAATCTGTTTTGATTCGTGTCACTAGGCTTCTTAATTGTTTGCACGATTTTTGTAGATTGGTAATTTTTGCTTCGCACATGTATTTAATCTCAACTTCCGAGAACTGCTCTCAAAAATACGTTCCAATTAAAGCATACGATATTTTATGGCTTTGTATTAATCGTAGCCACTGCATTTATGTTACTGCTGTACTATCTGTATTACATTATCCGAAAGATTTCAATAAGTTGAACCTCGTAAATGTCGTTCGTTACAAACCATAAATTTAATCAGCGTGTTAATCGCTAATCCATATCACTTCATAATCAAGCTACCTCACTCCTTCGTAAGGCTATTTTAAAATCAAAATATTAATTTGCTACAGTTTGAGCTTGAAGAGCCAACTAAAATTTCTTTGATTTCACTTCTAACAATCGGGAAAGTCGGTGCATCTTAGCATTAGTTAACAGTAGACTTATATGACATTTCATCGTACTTATATATTATATCATTATGCACGTTTCTTTCACACTTCAATTTTGTGTAATTGTTTAAATCTACCACATATAGGTTTCGCGAGAAGTATCATCCAGATTACTGCACAGATTCATCGTCCAGTATGAAATTTTTCGAAAGACGTTTAGAAATATTTATGGAGTTTTATAAAAGCGGTTATTTTGACAACCTACATTTAACCAGTGGTTACGAAAATGAAATTGTTCGTCTGCTAGATATGGGTAGGTGATATGATACAGATCTTGTCAGGTCAAGTTTTGCATTCCAATCTAAATAAACCTACAATGATCCAGTTGGTTTTTTGTGTGTAAGGCTTGTGGTCATATTGATCCAAAAACCTACTGGAAAATTTTTCTTATGTTATCCTAAGTCTATTGAAACCACTCTGCTATGTTAGTTTTAAAACAGTTGTAGTTAGGTCACAACGCTCACTCGTAATGTCAATCAAAGTTTTTCTTCAACAATTGTTCATATTTAATATGTAGTTGCGATTAAACTGGCTGGTGGAACGGAAGAGGATTTTATTCTTTTGGACAAACTACTGGAAGAGAGAATTTCTGAAAATTCTAATATGGTCGTTGAGCAATCAACATTTGAGCATACGGAGAATCCTAAACCAAACAACAATATAATTCAATCATCAGAAATTCGAGAAGACCTACTCGATAAAGCGAAATCTGATGCAAGCATTATGAAAAAAGCAGTAAGTTTTATTTACTTCAAGTGAATTTTAATGCTGCGATGTTGGTTAGTCACAACCAACTAACAAGAACTGTAAGCTTTTGTTTAGCATCTTTCATCAGTACGAAATTAAAAGCAATACGCAAGCACGTTGGTTTTAATCTTCTGAAGTGTAATTAAGTTAACTAATTCAGTTCAAAACTCCAAAGTACTTATAGCCTTCCTAAGTGATGACATTTGAAATATTGGCGATAAACGAGTTGCTTCTTTGCATTCGACAAGTTTGTTTTCAAAGATTTTGTCTTCATTTGCTGATCATTAGTTATTGTAATGTTCGTGTGTGTCTAACAGCAACATTGATAATATGCTTGATACTTTACTGAACAGAAGAAAATATAGAGGACGCATAAATCCATTCTTCATATTGAATGCCGTGTTATGTATAAGCCGATTGAGTCCTCTATATCCATGCCGAGGATTCGTAAGACACCAGGCCATCAGGACAGATGAGACTCCGAAGATGAGTTAAGCGGTGGATATGCTCAACTACTTCATTCCTCGTCACTAATTGTGGAGCCGACGCGAGTCAATGGCGAAACAACATTCACACGAAGAGAATCCCATCCCACACATGCTTACATTGTTGCTTGAGATGGTTAGAAAACGCTGCATTTCATCAGCGCCTTCACTAAACAGACGTATGTCATTAGCGAATTCGGAGTCAACAAGTGAATCTCATGGTAGGTCAACTCCTGAGAAGTAAAACAAAAAAATGTGATAATTCTGAAAGCATGTCTATGACAAAGCCAATCGAAAGCGGACAACCCTGACAAACACCACTCGACGAAGTCAATTCTGACGTTAGTAGTGTTCAAGCGTTCGAGCACAGACCTTGTACAAGGATGATGCACTTCTTCTTTATATCTTTCGATGCCAGACACTCCCACAGAATCTCACGATCAACAGAGTCAAACGCAGTCCTAAGTTCAAGGAATACAACTATTGTGGGGCGTTGGAAGGTGTATGTTCTAGGACCTGCGAATATTTGGTCTGTGTATCCATGTCCATTTATGAAACCAGCCTGGTTCTCTCCAGTCTGCTCTTCACGACCTCTCACTAACGACTGAACTTCTAATACCCATTTTCTTGATGTGTGAACAGTTGTCTACTGTTTTCTATCACTGCCGCTGTTCCTATCGCCTTTAATTTTGCTTCCCATATTAATGTACGTTTATAATCGGGTACTCTCATCATTTTGGAGCTTGTTATCTATCTCCTAACTGATAAACTCTGACACCCAGAAAGTTGTTTGTTAACATTACTTTTTGTTATAAAGGACAAATTTTCAGTGATATTCAATGTATTAACTTTAAAGAAGTCTTTATAAACTTCGGTCGTCATTAGATACTACAACACTTTAGGGTGTTTAGAATCTACAGTTTATGTTTTCTCTCTCTGTATTTCGTACATGTGAGTCTGACACTTCACGCCACTTAGTATTTGGTTATCTTTTTTTTTACGTAAAATCGTTTGTAGTGCTCGTGTCAGTAATAATAGATAAGCGAAATAAACACTATTCCTCATAATTTTATAGTACTTTAAATTTCAATCGAGTACACTTCATTATAGTATACTAAAATTTACTCTTAACAAGCTTTTGAATACCGTTATGTTTGTATCTATACATTTTTTCTTTTCAAAATAGAAAACTAAAACAGATTATCATGATTCTTCAAGCGCCCAAAAACGTAAAGTCTCTAAAATGAAAAGACAACAAAACAATGCAGATGATGAACAAGAAGAAGGCGAAGATAGTAGTTTAAGTGAAGATGATGAAAGTAATGGTGGTAGTCGAAGTGACAGTGTAAACAGTCATAGTGGTGATTCCAGTTCAAGTGATGATAATAATAATAATAATAGTACTAGTGGTAGTAGCAGTAGTAGTAGTGATAGTAGTGACGATGATGGTCATGGCAGTAGTCATAGTAGCAGCAGTAGTAGCAGTAGTAGTAGTAATAGTAGTAGTACGGATGATGATAATAATAATAATAATGACAATAAAAAGCATCTAAAGAAAGTTATCAAATCTAAAAGTAGTAGCAGTGATAGTAGTGATGGAGAGACGACTGTCAAACATAAAAAGAAGCATTCTAAACTTGTCAAAGATAAGAATGTTTCAGAAGCTTCTGGTCATAGTGGTGACCGTCGTCGTCACCGTCGCCGTCACCATGATGATGATAAAAGCATTGATGAGAATACACATACCAAAGTGAACAATTCCAATTCGACCAGCCATTCAGATAATAATGATCATCGAGATCATCAAAATGAAAGTGCTAATGCCAATGTAATTCCTAATGAAGCCAACATGTTATCTCCTATGATATCATCCAACACGACAGAGTCAAATCAATCAAATACAGTGTATGTTCTATCAGGGTTGACAAATCCACCTTATGCTACTGATGGTGTTAGTGTTAATGACGATACTAATAATGATCAAAGTATTACTTATGTTGGTGAAAAACCTTTGGATTTAGATAATGTAATGATTGAGAAATCAACAGATCCAATTAATGAAGATCAACTGAATGAAGTAATCATCACAGATAAACAAACACGTCGACCTATTCATTATACAAGTTTATTATTTTTTCCACATATTCCATTCAATATATTGAAACGAGATTTAATCTCTGTAAGTTTTTCAGTAGTAGTTGTTTTTGTTTAAACCACTTGTTTTTAAATCTGTTTATATATTCATACCGTTGGATGCTAGCTCAGTAGTTAAGAGATTAAGCATTCGCAAGCGAAACCGAAGGTCCTGGGTCCGATTCCCTCTTACGACGTCGTGAACACGCACTTTTTATGAGTCTCATACTAGGACGAAACGGCCATTCAGTGGTTCTAGGCTTCCAATGGTGATCTAACATTGATCGATTCATGATTTCACCAAATCTTAAATCTGTGCTTGAGTGCATTAAATAACCAGTCGTAACATTAAAATTATTGCGATGCTTCAAAATGTTTCTAGGTGGAAAACCCTGATTACAAACGAATGTTACATATGAACCCCAGTATCCTGATGAGATGAATGGCATGTGAACCTATTGTCGGTCACCAGCTATCATGAAACTAAATCTTCTGACGTTTCTTCACTACCTTGTGGATTAGACATGTAGGTGAGAAGTTCAAGGTGTGGCTCCCCAAGCAAACCATCTTTTTCCGTTTGAGTAGCCAGACAGTATCTTAGCTCATTCAAAAAT